TACGGATTGTAGTGGTCCTATGGAAACTTGTCTTTGAATGGAGAGAATACTTTGTGTCTATTCATTGATGACTATTCTAGGTATGTTGGGTGTATTTTCTGAAACAAAAAGGACAGGTTTGCTGGTGTATTCAAAGAGTTCAAGCTTCTGGTGGAAAATCAAGCAGAAAAAACCATAAAGATCTTAGAAGTGATAATGGTACAGAGTACACTTCTCAAGAGTTTGAGCAAGTGTGCAAGATGCTGGAATTAGCACCAATACCAGCCCCTACACTCCACAGCAAAATGGAGTCAGTGAGAGGAAAACAGGTCAGTTGTGAGATGCGCAGATGCATGGTGGCTGAGAAGAGATTGCCAAAGAAATTTTGGGCAGAAGCTATTACCACTGCAGTTTTTCTGCTCAATAGTGCTTCCAAAAAAGCCTTGGACAGTAAAACACCATGAAGCATGAATGGAGTTAAACCAACTAGAGAGGCTAAAATTTTCGGGTTATATGCTACATTTTGGTTCCAGCAGCAAAAAGGTCCAAGCTAGATGAAAGGCATTATTGGTATCTTTATAGGCTATAGCAGTCATCTAAAGCCTAGGGTATATGTTCCAGAAACCAGAAAAATTCAGATTTCCAGGGATGTCAAGATTGATGAGGATGGAGTATGGAATTGGGAAAAAACACCTGATGTAGAGACAAAACCAGGCTGGACAGAAGCTGTACATGAGCAATTTTGATGATGTTGAGAGTGATGTGGAAGATGAAATTTCAGTTAAGTTACCAGACCTTTAGCTGAGGTTTATGAGAGATGCAACTGGCTTCACTTGAGCAACAGTTTACTTTGAGGCTGCAAAATCAGAAGTGTGGAGAGTGGCCGAAGGAGGACTTGCAATGATTGAAAAGAATCAAACCTGAACTTGTGGACAGACCTCAAACAGAAAAGTGATCCAATTAAATGGATTTTCAAGAAGAAGCTCAATCCGGATGGTTCTGTCCTTAAGCACAAAGCAAGACTATTGTCAAGGCTTTGCCTCAGTAGTATGGAGTTGATTTTCTGGACACCTTTGCACCAGTTGCAAGGCATGACACAATCCGGCTACTACTTGCAGTGGCAGCCCAATTCTCATGGAAATATTTCAGCTGGACATCAAATCTGCCTTCCTTAATGGATGGCTGAATGAGGAGATATATGTTGAGCAACCGGAGGGTATAAGTCAGGGGAAAGGAAGACAAGTGTATCTCTTAAGGAAGGCCTTGTATGGCCTTAAACAGGCACCCAGGGCCTGGTACAGCAATAAACAATCACTTGCTGAATTTGGATTTTGTGAGAAGTCCAAATGAACATACATTGTATGTTAGGGAGATTGATGAAGATATTATATCATTTCCCTGTATGTTATGATTTACTTGTGACAGGGAGCAAGCAAACTCAACTTGAAGAATTCAGAGGTCCATGTTTGATGAGTTTGAGATGACAGATTTAGGAGAAATGGCTTACTTTCTTGGAATGCAGGTTCATCAAAGTTCAGCTGGGATTTTTGTTAATCAGAGAGTAGGCGATTGAAGTGTTGAAGAAGTTCAATATGGAAAATTGCAAATCAGTGGATGTGCCTCTGGTTCCCAATCTGAAGCTGTCAAGAGATGAAAATGCAGAAAGTTTTGATGAGGGACAGTACAGAAGCTTGGTTGTTGTTTGCTGTATCTTACAGCAACTAGGCCAGACATCATGTTTGCAACTAGCCTACTGTCCAGGTTATGAATCCGCCAAAGAAACCCATTTTAGAGCTGTAAAGATTGCTCAGGTATGTGAAAGGGAGCACCAGCTTTGGATTGCGATTGAAGTGTTGAAGAAGTTCAATATGGAAATTGCAAATCAGTGATGTGCCTCTGTTCCAAATCTGAAGCTGTCAAGAGATGAAAATGCAGAAAGTGTTGATGAGGGACAGTACATAAGCTTGTTTGGTTGTTTGCTGTATCTTACAGCAACTAGGCCAGACATCATGTTTGCAACTAGCCTACTGTCCGTTTTGAATCAGCCCAAAGAAACACTTTTTAGAGCTCAAAAGAGTGCTCAGTATGTGAAGGGGCACCAGCTTTTGGAGTATGGTACAGGAGGTCAGAAGACTTTGGTTTAATTGGTTTTTCAGATAGTGACTGGGTGGTTCAGTGGAGGACTGAAAAGCATTCAGGGTATACTTCTTCCTGAACCATGGTGCATCTGCTGGATGTCGAGAGCAAGAAGAACGTTTGCACATCCACAGCGAGGCAGAAGTACATTTCACTGCAGCTGCTGTGAATCAGCTGTCTGGCTGAGAAATCTTGGAAGATTTGAAGCTGAACGAAGCATCCTGCTGTGATAATGTGTGATAATCAATCGGCTGTGGCTATGGCTTAAGAATCCATTCCATCATGGGAAACTAAACCATAAAGATAAAGTTTCCATGCATGAGAGAAGCTGAGCAGAAGGAGAAGTGAAACTGGTCCACTGCAATGTTGATGAGCAGTGGCTGGCATCCTAACTAGGGATTTCTAAACCAATTTGAAAGCTTCAGGATCAGACATTGGTGTTTCCAGCAAAATTATCAAGGAGGAGTTTTGAGCATTGAAATTTGCTGGAAATTCGTGTTAAGTTTAGTTGTTTTTTGAATTAGTTTCTTGGGGCCAAGTAGCAGTTGCATTCCCTTGTTTCCTGCTGAAACTGAAGCTGCTGGAGTTGTTTTGGAGTTTTTAATTTTGTGTCTGTTTAGTGTAATCAGTGTAAGATAAGTGTGCATTAAGTTACCAACTTTTTTTTGAAATTTAAAGTCTGAATGGTTGTTGTAGTTGTAAAACGCAAGCTTTGTTGTGTATATATTGCAAGTTACAGTGTAATGAAATATAGCATTCACTTTCTGCATTTTTCTCCTTTTTCTTTCTTAGAGTTCTCCGCCAAATACCATCATCTTTGAACGAAACCTTCAATTGAGTCATCCACCAAAAGAACAACTGAGCTACTCATCTACACATCATCTTCACTTGAACGAAAGACGTGTTCTGGCTCAAAAGGTTGCCTGTTTTGCACGAGCAAGTGTCTGAATTCTTCTCAAGTCTTGCCATAGCTATTTGAAGAACATATGCGCTCTTCTGTAACATTCCTTCCCTCTCCTCTTCTTTCGACACAAACTACCTAATCTTTCATCATTTTCGACGTTCATCCGCAGCATTCAGATACTCATAACTTCATTATCCTGAGTCCCAAATCGGACTGATCTTCCTCCGACCAATAATCTTCTCAACAACATTAAGCTGTTCTTTATCTCACGACTCCCTCACCTTCTCATCATCAATGTTGCCATGGTGGACAATTGGGAACCAAGATCTGCCAATTATCTTTCTCATATCCTTCGTGTGGTTTTATTTGACCCTAATGCCCTGACAGGTGTTTCGCTGCAATCAAGTTTTCTTTTCTTCCATTTCCGGAATAATCGCTGACAGTCCTCATAGCCATGGCCTTCTTCCCTTGCTATTCCCACCTTAAATTTTCACAAACAGAAAAACAATGATACTATTTAGGCAAAAAATAGCTTCAGACTTCCTACACAAATGAAATAACTACTCAAATATTCATTACCCAACAAAGAAACTCAACTAGCTAAATCAAAATCAGTAAAATATTCTCTTGCATGATGGAACAATTCAATAAAGATAAACAAAGTCAACAAAAACTTGCAATGACGAAAAACAGAACCACAAACATATTAAAACAACCTTATCAATAAAAACAGAACAAGAACCTTGAAAATCCAATTCAGTCCCGATCTTTAGAACACATAATATCAGAAAATGGATCCACAAAGCAGAAATGATCATCAATCAATCCAAAACTAAAATAACTGAATGCTGAAACTAGAATAGATTTCAAAGTTTTAACAGTACAATAACCAGAAGAAGCAAAACAAAACAGAGAAGATCAGCAACAAGTTTAAGCAGATCTAAGCAACAATAACAACTAATCAGATTAGAATACAAAGTCCAAGATGGAAATAGTATATAATAATATAATAATAAAAAGGAGACTTTGTACGGAGAGTACTAATAACTGACCATTTTCCCGGAGCTTTTGAAGATCAATTAATCGTTTTTAAGCTGTTAGCTTTCTCTCTCGTTATGCTTTAGCTTCTTCGTTCTCTCTCTCTTTCTCTTTGTGCGTGTGTGGTCTTTGTTTTAGTTTCTATGAAACTTCTCTCCTTCCACTGTTCTTAGTCTTTGTTTATTGATTATACCCTTTTGATTCACTTGGTGTTGGGGGAGGCCTCGTGGCTTTGACCATTTTCGTCTACGCTAATAAATACAAAGAAAATCACCATTTACAGTGATAACTTCTTCTTGATTTCTACTTGGGTGTTGACTGATATTTTGATTCTGGTAAATTCTATAGGGGAGAATACACTCTGTAATTTAATAACCCAACAAATGATTCGTTAATAACTATCGTTGCATGCGTCTACGATAGGACTTCAAATAGCTTAGACTTTGTAACAATTAGAATCAGGATGTCAAAAAATAATACATAGGGTCAGGTCAATAATCGAAGGTAAAGCTCTTACTTTTACAACCAGCTGTGTATCAAATTTGAGACTGTAGATTAAAGATATGCATAATCCTCTTGATTCATTCTTACTATTGAGCTAGACTTAGTAGTTTAATGTATTCTAATTATTTTTATTTTTGTTATTTTCATTAAGGATATAATATTAAATTAAATCACCCCATTTTATGATTAAATTTGTTGTGTAAATAAAACATTTAAAATTAAGATTAGTAAAGATGAATTCATATTTTGAATATGGATTTTGTTTGGTTGATTATGACTTGGTCATGTCAAGTCATGTCAGTTGCCATTGGCTACATTTCTAGTTTGATTTTTCTAAATTTCTGACCAATTTGCATCCACTTTTATATTGTTGTCTCAATTATCTCCATCAGTTTCTGGTCATGGATTCAAAAATTCGGACTTTAATTATATAAAAGCTTGTGGACAAATTCATTCCCTGTTTTCCATTACCAAATTGTTTGAATAAAGGGATGAGATCATTGCAATGGTTTCCACTAACTTTTCATTCAAAGAAATGGATAGGGAAACCTTGTTCATTCCAATTTTCCTATTACACATATAAAAATCTTTCTTTCCCTCTCCCTACTAACTTAACTTAATTTAATTTCCAATGATAATTAATTAATTTCTTTGTTCATAACAATAACATCTATTCAATACCAAAGACTTAGAATTAAATTTTTTTTTTTTTTTCATTTTTCTTTGTTGTCCTTCTTCATCAAGACCTTGGAAGAGGTTCTCCTCTCAAAAATGATTTGAATAGCTGCAGAGCAGCTCTTGGCTTGAACAGTGGCACCTCATGACCTGCCCCTCTCACTGTTGCAAATGTTAGCCCTTCGTAAACTTCTGTCCATCCTCCTACCTTATCACCACAAAAAAAAAAAGAAAAAAACAACAACGACGACCCGTTAACATACATTATAAACATTTTTTTTGTTATATATAGTCAAATTTGTCCTTAAAATATACGTTAAGATTGTTAGGTATTGATAGCAAAAGGAACATGTGATTTTTACTTATTGTCAAATGAGCTGGAGACCACCCTTATATTAAGAATTACAAAAGTCATACGGGCATGCACGGTTTGACCCTTGAATTCAAACAATTCATATTCAATTTCTTGAAATATTCTGTAAAGGCCTAGAATTCAGGTAACCTGCCTATAAATGTTATGAGATATTTTTATGACCAAATTAATTAATCCAAGAGATGAAGGCATAATTAGCTACTGACCTGCTTCTTAACATACCAAGGATACCATGGAATTTTGGTTGTTAATTTCAGTTGTGCCAGAGAATACCTTGTTGCAGTAACTGGCACCACTGAGTCCACATCTCCACTGCAATTTTTGAAGAGAAAATGCTTAGTTATTACTATATATATATATATATAGGGAAAACTAAATAAAATTTGATAGTAAATACATAATATTGCCAACCTGAAAACCCAAACTCTTAATCCACCCGCTATCATTTGTCTATAAATTGGAAGAACTGATACATCTGTGTCATTCCAATTGCGGTTTAGTAATTCGCTGTCATCAAATAACACGAAATTTATTAAAAAAGTGTTAAATAAATAAGGATCCTTTCCTGATTTAAGCTCTCGTGACTTTTTAAAGATTGTATTTACGATCACCTGCAAGCAGTCCACATATAAGGAATTTTGGTTATGTTAGCATGGAGGGCTTTTTGCACATCAGGCCTGTTGTAATAAATCTCGGCATACTTTTCTGTACAAGGATCATAGCCTGATATCTGCCTCAAAATCTGACAATATGCCAAAGAAATTAATGATACTCATTATCATTTTCTTATGATTTTCTATACAAATTATAACTTGATATATATTTTACTTTATGTTTATATTTATATACCTTATGGGGTCGATGAGGCAACCGAATAGTCTGGCGTGTAGTAGTGCTACCATCAGAGTTGTTGCAGGGAGGTGCATAGATGTTATACTGATCGATGTTCCCAAACTCTTGATCCATGGCATAACTATAAAGTGATTCACACTCGTCTGATTCTTTCTGCCTTCTAAAATCACAAGTGTTGATGAGTTGTCTATATGTTTTATCAGAGATCATGGCATGGCTCCACCAATATGTCACAGTTCCCAGATTGTCATAGTAGTTGTCTGTCACTGCATTCCCCACCTGCATATTCTTTTCATCAAACTTTTTGCATTTCCGATATAGAAAAACAATCTATCTTTACCCCGTACTCTAATTTTGATCCAAATTTATGTATATCTTATCAGTTTTGAGATATATTTTTTTTTTTTTCAGAATGTAAACTTAATCGTTATGACCTGAAATGCGAATAGTTATATAAAAGTATATATAAAAAGACGTTCACGTTAAAGAAAGACTAATCTAAGTCACATCGAACCTTGTAATGTTGCAAATTAAATAGTGTAAGAGGATTATTTTACCATAATCCCTTTGAGATTTATAGGGTGTTTTGACTTAGAATTGTAGATCATAATTTCTCTAGCCAGCTGAGGGACATAATGGCCGGCGTAGCTCTCTCCAGTGATATAAACTTCACGGCCTTTGTATCTTGGGAATCGTTCCAACCATCGGATCAGGAATGCCAGTGAGTCCTTAGCTGAAGCGTATTATATATTAATCATCCATTAAAACTTGAACATTAAAGGTGAAAGAAAGAGTCAAAGACCCATCAAAATATATCAAAATGTACATGCTTTACATGATTATATCTAAGTTGTTTTACTTTAAGTGAGCAAATCTTAAGCTTAAAGTAATGATTAATTAGCTTAATTATGTCGGCCAACAGTTGATGTAGAAGCCATAAAGAATGAAGACATAAGACCATGGCATGCATCATTATACAATTCAGTGCTGCTAGTCTTCAAAACTGTGGCCTACCATTAACCAAAAGTACTTCATACTCTTTGAAAAACAGCAACACTACTAGTGATTATTATTATTATTATTATTATTATACAAAATGAAAAATCTGTGGGTCCTACCAGTGCGGCGGTCGCCCGTGTCGAGCAAATCGGCCGACCGGTTGCTGTAAGAGAAGCCTACACCAGCAGGAGTCTCTAAGAACAAGAGGTTGGCCACAGAGTTCCATGAGAACTTGTTAAGGTGCAATCCTGAGGCAGTCCTGTTAATTCTAAATGGGCCTATTTCTTCAGAAGCACCATATGCCACAGAAGAGCAACCAGGACCTGGTCAAAAAGATCACATAATATCATAAGGATGTAAATATTTTGCAAAATAAAACTACAAAATATATATATACACATATATCACATCATAAAGTTGACCCAAAATTAACATATCATGTGCATTTATGCCTCCTAAATTTGGCCTAGCTATAAAGTTGAAAGACAGGCATTTTCTGATACTTCTTCTACAAGGGTATTTTGATTTTTTCCAATTTTTTGAAGTTTTGATATCAAAGTTAAAACAGTTTGAGATAAGAATCCATGCAGGTGTGTAAAACAAGGTGTCAAACATTTATTTTCTGACAAAGTGTCAAAGAAAGCAGCTATGAAAATGGGGTATTAAATGTTGCCTGCTTCTGGTTGCTATCAAGCATTTAATTTTCTGATTATTACTATGCAAATAGTTAAGTGTGTGATGTGTGTGAAGTGGGAGAGGGAGAGGGAGAGGGAGAGGATAGAGTAGAGTTTTATGTTTACACAATTAACTTTGTATTATTATTTGTTTTATTGGTCGTTAGGTTGATTGTGAATGAAACTTCTACTTCTACTTCTACTCCATTGGTAGTTAGGTCATCATCATTTCTGTCCATTTTGTAGGCCACAGTGAGACCACTCTTCTTCTTCTTTTTTTTTTTTCTTTGTAAAAGAAAATCTTTTGGCAGCTTCGATAAATCAAATGAAAAAATATTAGAGTATAACATTTACATAAACAAAATCTTTTTCTCTTCTGTGTAAAAGATTTCAACTGCACACAAAGTTTCTAAATACAGTTTGTACCTGTAACTTGTAAGCAAGAAGAAAATAAACCTTTTCACCATTCAAACAAAACCATGTCGGCAACAGAAAAATTAGGTAAGAATAATTAGTGTACAGAGTGAGACAAAAAGGCAAAGCACGGCATTAATGAAACTTGTACCATCCAAAGAAAAATATGTTTAGAAGTAAAGATTTGAGGCAATATAACAGTAAAAACAAAATAATCATCAAAAGCTTATAAACATGCAGAATAATATTTTTTTCCGCAAAAGCATGCAAATATGGGGAAAAAAAAAGAAAAGGGTTTTTACGTTCTGACCTCCATTAAGCCAAACAACCAAAGGTTTAGACAAAGGGAGAGTGGTGGCCTCAGTGAGCCAGTAGAAGAGAGCTCTACCAACAGCTTGGTTAACAGTAACGTAGCCGGAGAATTGTTGGAAGGAGACTTTTGGTTGGCCTGGAAGAGCAGTGATTCTGTCATGAGCTTCTTCTTGTTGAGAAGAAGTCACAACTAGAGGTGAAAGATTTAATGTTATTACGAGAAAAAGAGGGAGAGTGTGGAGAAAGATCTGAGCTTTGGCCATTTTTATGCCCTTCATGAAGTGAAATGAAAGGAGAAAGAGAAGGGGAGTAGACGAAAGTGTAATTCAGAAAGGATTAAATAGGGAGGGAGAGAAGAGTGAAGAGTGAAGAGCGCAGAGAGAGAGAGATTGATTTATGAGATTTAGAACACTATAATAATAAATCTACAACACTACTTTTAAACAGGGCAACCATCTTTATTGTGAAAATACTATTTTACCCCTACTTATATTTTAAGATACTTTGAAGAAGTGTTTTTGTTTTCTTCAACTACTTTCGTATTTCTATAAATGAGATTGTTATGTGTTTGAAATAGTAACATGATAACATAGTTAATGTCAAGGTTTTTTATTTTATTTTTATTTTTGAAGTACTGTACTTATTTGAAAAGTCCTCAACAAGAAAATAGACTATAAATCATTTAAAGGTCTTGTATTTAAATCACACAAAATAACATCATATTTGTAATTTATCTGTCTATTAAATCTATAAAATATTTAAAATATATTAAAGATTAATTAAAGTGTGTGTAAACTAATCGATTAAAAAAAAATAGAATACACTAACTTCTAAAATAAGATTGATGGGGTGTCCATATCACTCAAATTATTAATTTCTTTAATTTATAAAAGATTCATAATTTAGTTTTAATTAGGAAAGCAATTGTCTCACTCACAGTCACATGGTTTTCACACACCCATGAAACAGTCCCTTTAATCCTCCATTAATTCCTCTTGTATTCATCTTCCACATCTTTGACTAGTATTCTACCTTTATCCTTTCATTTTTGGCTTTTATATCTCTCAGTCTTCCTTTGTTTTCTTCCCTTAATTATTTATAGTATTCAATAATTAGTAAAACACAATAATTTATTTTTGTCAATATACGGTGCATAAGATTACTATTTTGGTTGCACGTCTTTGTGGAAAAGATTTTTTGTGTTAACCAACCGAGTAACAGAAAGGATTTTTTAAGTCAGAATAGACTATAAATTTTAGCCACAAAAGTAGGCTTATATATCTTTCATTAGATGTTTATTATTATTATATGGTGTCAGTATCTCATTACAGAAATAAGTTAGATATTGGTTTATAAAAGTGGGTAAAGAGCATCTCTCAATAATTTAGTCTTTTAAATAGTTGACAATAACTCTGATAAATGATAGTAGAGTTTGAATAAATCAAATCGGTTGAGGGAATACCAAATGGGGTCGAGAGGGAAAAAAAAATGATTAACTAGTTAAGAGGTAAGATAGAATACCAAAAGCCATTGATTAATCAAATATCAGAATAACTAATCAAAGGGTGAGTCAGAAAAAAATGAGTGAATCACGTTAAAATGAGTAAACAATATCATCTAATATTCATATTTTGACGTGATTAAAAAAACCTGGCTTATATAACAAAACATAGGAAGAAATGTATTATGAATTGGGTATAATAAAGGAAGAAAGGGAGGAGGAAGCAAGCTTTAGTTGTAGATGTCTTTACGTGCACGCGAGCTGGGGTTGTGGGGATTGAATTGATTTTCCGTATATAGTATTTGTGTGTGGGCTTGGTGATGATGTCTCTTTTGGACTTCAATCTTCCTTCTGCAATCTCCCACTAAGTTCTTTTTCTTTTGCTTTTGCACATTTTATCATTGCCTTTCCATATATTTTCTTTATCCATCTATCCTCCACTCATCTTTGCCCCTAAACTTTTCATCAAATTTTTTGTCTTCAAACTTAGTAAAAAGAAGTAAGACATGAAGGAAGGAACATAAAGAAACATAATAAAGAAGGGACTAAATGTAGGATAGAAGAAGTAGATGATATTTATGAGATTAAAGAAAGGCAGAAAGCAGTTGGTTTCCGCCAAAAATTTGAAGGACAGTAGCAGCATTATCAAAAAGAGAGAGAAGATGAAGATGGAGAGTTACAGTTGGAGTCATTTCAACTAGTCGATGCTTATGAACAAAGACCGACCCTGCAGTCCACAAATCTTGAAAGAATAATGTTAGCCTTACTCCCTCTTTTTACTCATTTCTGTTACTCACTCATGTTAATCTCCCTTCTTACTCAATTCTCTCTCTTCTTACACCCACCTACCATATGAGTGAGTAAGAGAAAGGAGTAAGAAAGGGGAGTAAGGTTAGCATTACTCATCTTGAAATGCATGCATGCTCATCAGAATTTAATTTATAAAATTAATAAAATAAAATATAAATGGGTATGGGTGCATTTCTGAAAAGACTAGGACTGTTCAAAAAAATTCGATATCTGATCCTAATCCATTCTGCTCCGATATGAAAAAATCGAATATCTGGAAATTCGGATCGTAATTTAAAAAAATCCGAATATTCGGATCGGATACCGGGTCAAGATTGTTAAAAAAGCGGATATCCGTATCCGATCCGGATTTTACTAAAAGTCTAAAACTACGTCGTTTTGATTTTTAAAATAAACCTAAACTAAAACTATGTCTCTCTTGCTCGAACACGCACAGACACAAACACACAGTCACTCAAACTCTCTCAGTCTCTCTCAGCCGCTCGCTCAACTCTCTCACTCTCAGTCTCTCTCGCTCAACTCTCTCACTCTCAGTCTCTCTCGCTCGAACACTCACAGTCACTCAAACTCAACTCTCTCAGATCGCAGTCTCTCTCGCTCAAACATTCACAGACACAGTCACTCAAACCCAACTCTCTCAGATCTCAGTCTCTCTCGCTCAACTCTCTCAGTCTCTCTCGCTCGACACTCGACAGACACTCAAACTCAACTCTCTCAGTCTCTCGTCAACAACCCCAAATCGTCAGTTCCTCTCCTAAATCCCTAATTGAAGCCCCAAATCGATCGTAAGTAAATTTCTTTAGATTTGCTGAATTTTCTTTTTCCCTTTCGAAATTGTAGTGTTTTCCATTATAAATTGCTGAATTTTCTGCCTTGTTTTGTGATGGATGCTTTGACTATGGATTGTTTGTTGGATCTTCATTCATGGTTTGTTTGTTGAATTATCTTTGATAATAGAGGGATTAAGTTAAAGCTTGTACTTTTTCGTGGGAAATTTGATGAATTTTATGATTAAGTTTCTGGTTCAAATTCAGAATTGGTCACATGAACTGCCCAGATAACCTTATGCAATTAATTTTGTTGTTAATCTTAAAAGTTGTTTATTTAAATGGTTTATTTGTTTTATTTTGTTTTGTACAGGAGGATGATGATGAGTATGAATTGGCAATGAAGATAGCATAGTCAATATGTAAGCTGTGACAGTGTTTGGACAACATATGTTAAATATTTTGTGCTTCATGTTAATTTTTTTAAATACTTTTATCATGTAAGGAAATTATAATTTCAATTTTATTGTTAGAATTATTTGATTTTAATAAGAAAATTTTAAAATTCGGATCAATTTTGGATATCCAATTATCTGATACGAATAATCAGATATCCGTAAAACTGAATATCCACATAATTCAGATCAGATTCGGATCAGGATATAATCTGACCTGAAAATTTAGATCGGATCAGAAAAAGTCCTATTCAGATTGAATATCCGGATTTGAATAGTCCTAGAAACTAAGAAAAGACAGTGGAGTCTAAATTGATTTGAAGATGTTCAATTCATTGTATTATTAATTAAGAAAAGAGTAATAGTAATTACATNTAAGATGGTTAATTTTATAATTTTAGTAATTTAGGGGTTAAAATATAATTTATTAATTTAGGGTTAAAGGGCATTATAGTAATTACACCCTCACTATCCTAAAAAATGTTAACAGTGTTATTTTAAGGGTGGGAATCTGAAATAAATAGAACTTGTGATACCAACTTGAGGTTTCATCAAACCTTGGGTGGGAATATGTTGTTTACTCATTCTAAAATCCCACCACATATTTACTTTTTGTAACAAAACTTAAAAGTCTTACGTTAATGTTACACGTCGCTTTGGGCCCTTGCTGGTTCACAAAGGTTTGCTTTTGGGCTTCACGCAAGTGTCATTCACTCAAAACATGTCTTGACAATTTAAAAGCTCACATGCTATTTAATAAACATTCACATTTCCTTTCTAAGCAATGTAAAATATTACATTCACCCCCCTTTTGGACCCAAGGATCCTTGTTGCAAATCTTGTGTGATGGATTATCCACACACTTCCGATTGGGATGGGCTTTGATGTCATCTACAATATCCTGACCCATTATCAAGATACTGTTTGATTTGGGCCCTCATTCAACCTCATTTATTTTATATTTATTAAGTTGAATTTTTATAATAATTCATCAAATCGTTTTTTTACACATCATTTTATGTAAAAGTTTTGTAAGCACACTCTTTAAATATAGTATTATTCTTATTATATATACGTCTTATATGATTGTTTAATTTGAAGTACATCGAAACATTATGAAAAAGCATAATAATTTAAAAATTCCTAAAATTATTAAAAAATTTCGACGGTTTTATAATGATTTTCAGAAAGCTTGAATCCACTTGAATTAAACACTCATACAAGGGTAAATAAAATAAAATACGTATACTAATTACTATGTTTAGTAATTAGTATACGTATAAATTATAATAGGAAAATAAAATATAATAGGCTAATTACTTTAGGGCAATGTTATGTGTATTAACAATTTGTACTAATCCAAGTACTAGCATTGAAAATTTAAAATTCTAAAAAAAAAAAAATTTCAAATTTTCAATGTTAATACTTGGATTAGTACAAAATGGTCAGTACACATAGTATTATCGATTACTTTAACATTTATAGATGAAATCTGACCTGTATTAGGTGGCCCAATAGCATCTTGCCACGTCAAATTGGACCCACCATTGAGTAATATAAACTTTATTTTGAACCTCAACGGGTAGTAATAGAAAATGCCAAAATTCGACCGTTGCAAATCCTCATCACTAAAACGGTAACCTCCAAAACATAAAACGTCATCACCTTACATACAAAAACACTCTCTTCAAGCTACTCTCGAAGTTTTTCTCAGTACACTTTCTCAATACCTTTTCTTCTGTTCCCAGCACCTTCTTTTCTCAGGAAACTAACAAACATTCCGATGGAAAAGGTTACTGAAACGCCATTGAAAAGTCCTGAACAAGCAGCAAACACCACCCTCTTGGAGCACAAAACTCCCCTTCAGAATCGACAAACTGATGGGCAAATTTCACAGGATTCAGGAAATGAGTTGAAGAAAACCAATACCCCGGATCGGCTTAAAGTGCCCAAGGCATTTAAGTACCCCGAAAGGCATGTACTTTTCTCTACTCTTTAATAATGTTTATTATTACACATTTGATTAATTGCGTATAAAACTTGTCTTGTTTTTACAGGTATAGGAGCCCAACTGATGCAATAATGTCACCAGTTTCAAAAGGATTGCTTGCCAGAAACAGAAAGGGAGGTGTACTTTTGCCACCTAGCATAAGTCAGCCCAAGGTATTAAATAATATGTGTTTTTTAATTTGTTTTGGGTACTTATAATTTACATGTATGTGGTTTTTATATATATTTTTTCATTTGGTTTGGGATGGCAGATTCAAGAATTGCTTGTTCAAGACGTGGGTTTGTTTCAAAATTGAAGTGTTTGAATTGATGGTGGTGGTGGATACAGTTAAATGTTCAGATGGATTCTTGAACCTGATGAATTTGTCTGCTATGAAGTTGGTGGTGTTGGGTTTGTATAAAAAGAAAAAGGGTTTCTGGGTTGTGAAGAGCCTATTGTTTACATTTCACTGAATTGTGTCATGTGATTTTTCCTGAAGCACTCCTGTAATTTGAATTCAGTACTTCTGTAATAAAAAGTTTAACATAATTGTCAATTTACAACTATCTGACCCACTCTTTGGGGAGGAAATCGTACTAAACCCTTTATAGGATATAAGGTCATGTTTGGTTCATGGTAATCAACATGGGAGCAGGAATCCCATTAACAAACAATCACCTTCAAACATGAACAATGACTTATTTGCCCTCATTTAAAACAGAAAATGACTTATTTACTAGTAATGAGTCAATGCACTGGATCATCGACCGCTCATCCTCCATGCGCCGACGGTGATTTGGGAAGCGTGAGGGGAATTCGTCGGCCGGTGGTTTTGACCAGGAATGACCAGTTTACAAAGCTCAAGTGATGGGAATAGGCTGACAGTCACAGAATCATAAAGATAGCCAATTTTACTGAACTCATGAATGTCAAAACATCATTTGAAATGACAATTAAGTCTTCTGAAAATACCGAAAGTTCAAAGACCAGAGAATTGAATTGAATTGAATTCTCAGAACGTAGTTAATACAGTCAAAGCAAGAGCCTATCAAATGATTATATTATTTTTTAAATAATTGATTGAAATATTTTATTATTTATTTTATTTATAGACTTTTTGGGTAGTTGGAGTTCATTGATGATGATGTATTTACTGGAGTCTTTAAGAAATGGGACTATCTCAAGAGAAATAAATGTATTATTTTTCTCCTATCAGATAAGGAGATAGGTTTGAAAAGTATATGGGTCCTCTTGCCTTGGAAATATCTCCTGGATTGATTGATATTATTATTCCCCTTTAAGCTATGTTTTGTTTTGGACTCATATTTGAACTTTTCTATCTACTTTAAACAATTCTTTTTATTTTTTATCTTTAGGAAAAGAATAAAATGAAGAGTATCACTATAAAAATCATTAATTCTAAAAGAGTAAACGACATATTCCCACCCAAGGTTTGACGAAATCCTAAGTTAGTATCACAAGTTTCATTTATTCTAGATTTTCACCCTTAAAGTAACGCGAAATGGTTAGATATAACGGCTCAGGGGTAAATTGGTCATTTCATAGAAAAGGTGCACATTAGCAGATCGTCGCCCATAACAAAGATTCGGCACATGTTAGCAACATCACCACCGATGTTTTTCGCCCTTTTCCGATGATTCTTCCACCCAAAATCACCCTTGTGACCATCATTTGAACCCTCATCCTCTCCTTTACAAAACCATACCCTTGACAACCCCTCATCGCCCGTCGATCTCCAGCCACGACAGCCGCCACATGCGACTAGTTTTCGTCGGTGTCCACCGACGAATGGCCACTAAACGGTTGCTGGGACATAGGGGTTTTGTAGATTAGGAGACGCTGGTTGCAGTGGTGATGTCGAATTAGATTTTCGTCCCCAGAATCGACCGGAATCCGACGAAGAACGACGAAAACCTAAGCTTGACGGCACCGACGATTGGAGGGCCCAATGAGTCAGGAACCAGAGGGGTTTTGGACGACGGATGATGGGGAAGGTGATGGAGGTGGCCAGGGGTTTCGCTAGCATCGAAAATAGCCCAGATCCGGTGAAAACCGAGACGGTGCACAGTCATTGAGGGTGTAATTGATGTAATTTCAAAATAAGATGGTTAATTTTATAATTTTAGTAATTTAGGGGTTAAAATATAATTTATTAATTTAGGGTTAAAGGGCATTATAGTAATTACACCCTCACTATCCTAAAAAATGTTAACAGTGTTATTTTAAGGGTGGGAATCTGAAATAAATAGAACTTGTGATACCAACTTGAGGTTTCATCAAACCTTGGGTGGGAATATGTTGTTTACTCATTCTAAAATCCCACCACATATTTACTTTTTGTAACAAAACTTAAAAGTCTTACGTTAATGTTACACGTCGCTTTGGGCCCTTGCTGGTTCACAAAGGTTTGCTTTTGGGCTTCACGCAAGTGTCATTCACTCAAAACATGTCTTGACAATTTAAAAGCTCACATGCTATTTAATAAACATTCACATTTCCTTTCTAAGCAATGTAAAATATTACATTCACCCCCCTTTTGGACCCAAGGATCCTTGTTGCAAAATCTTGTGTGATGTATTATCCACACACTGCCGATTGGGATGGGCTTTGAGTCATCTACAATATCCTGACCCATTACAAGATACTGTTTGTTTGGCCCCTCATTCAACCATTTATTATATTTGTTATTTAATTTTTATAATATTCATCAAATCGTTATTGAACACTCATTTTATGTAAAAGTTTTGTAAGCACCCCTTTAAATATAGTATTATTCTTATTATATACGTCTTACGATTGTTTAATTTGAAGTACTCGAAACATTATGAAAAAGCATAATAATTAAAAATTCCTAAAATTATAAAAAATTTCGACGGTTTTTATAAGGATTTTCAGAAAGCGAATCCACTTGAATTAAACACTCATACAGGTAAATAATAAAATACGTATACTAATTACTATGTTGATATTAGTATACGTATAAATTATAATAGGAAAATAAATATAATAATATGCTTATTACTTTACCATTTATGATGAAATCTGACCTGTATTAGTGGCCCAATAGCATCTTGCCACGTCACATTGGACCCACCATTGGGTAATATAAACTTTATTTTGAACCTCAACGGGTAGTTAATAGAAATGCCAAAATTCGACCGTTGCAAATCCTCATCCCTAAACGGTTAACCCCAAAACATAAAACGTCATCACCTTACATACAAAAACACTCTCTTCAAGCTACTCTCGAAGTTTTTCTCATACACTTTCTCATACCTTTTCTTCTGTTCCCAGCACCTTCTTTTCTCAGAAACAACAAACATTCCGATGGAAAGGTTACTGAACGCCATGAAAAGTCCTGAACAAGCAGCAAACACCACCCTCTTGGAGCACAAAACTCCCCTTCAGAATCGACAAACTGATGGGCAATTTCACAGGATTCAGGAAATGATTTGAAGAAAACCAATACCCCGGATCGGCTTAAAGTGCCCAAGGCATTTAATTACCCCGAAAGGCATGTATTTTCTCTACTCGTTAATATGTTTTATTATTACACATTTGATTATGCGTATAAAATTGTCTTGTTTTTACAGGTATAGGAGCCCAACTGTGCATAATGTCACCAGTTTTCAAAAGGATTGCTTGCCAGAAACAGAAAGGGAGGTACTTTTGCCACCTAGCATAAGTCAGCCCAAGGTATTAAATAATGTGTTTTTTAATTTGTTTTGGTTACTGTAATTTACATGTTAGTGTTTTTTATTATATTTTTTTCATTTGGTTTGGGATGGCAGATTCAAGAATTGCTTGTTCAAGACGGTGTTTGTTTCAAATTGAAGTGTTTGAATTGATGGTGTGGGTGATACAGTTAATGTTCAGATGGATTCTTGAACCTGATGAATTTGCTGCTATGAAGTTGGTGATGTGGGGTTTGTATAAAAAGAAAAAGGGTTTCTGGGTTGTGAAGAGCCTATTGTTTACATTTCACTGAATTGTGTCATGTGATTTTTCCTGAAGCACTCCTGTAATTTGAATTCAGTACTTCTGTAATAAAAAGTTAACATAATTGTCAATTTACAACTATCTGTGACACATTTTTTGACTTCACAAGATGACATCTAAAAGTTTAGGGGGTTGAACAAACTGGTCCATATTTGCCAAAATGACCCATGGACTGCACTGGCCATAACCTTATTTAGACTGGGATCATTGGTCGGGCACCAGATACATATTTGGCAAGCTCATATGCTAATTTGCCCTAGTTAATTGGGTTTAGTTTGGCTCTGTCATCAAGACCTGCTATGCTAAGACAGGATGGATAAAATGATTCATATCATAAGCTTCTGATTCACAGAGCAGGCAACCCGGAATTTCTTTTGCAGAATTCAGCTTTTGTCTTGATGCTGCAATTGAACAATTACACCAATCTTTCATATTATTCTGAAACAAAAAATTGGGAATGATTTAGGTGAATATGGAAAGATACATGAGCAATGTAATCCATATGCTTCACTGACAGTAGCAATGCTCATATACATTACATGGACTATTTTTATTTTTGTATGAATTCGTTACTCAATCGACTTCATACCACTGGATTGAACCAATATCTCCATCGAGTTCAAGTTCACATACAGAACTACTAGGAAAGAAACAGCCTCATCAATGGTTGGAAATCTTGCAAGGTCACGTGGCAATTCTTTCCTGGCCGTTTTCTAACAAATCTTTCGTTTCGCTTTCAACTCATCTTCTGATAAACCTTCTCATCTTGGCCAGGCTCAGCAGCACATAAGTTTCAGTTCGTGAATATGCCTTCCCCTCCTCCTTGTTGCAAAAATCTGACAGCAGAACAACGAATCAGAATATTGAAAATGACATAAATGGTATTTGATTAGATGAATCTCAACGCTATTTACACAGACCAGAAAAATAGAAGTAAAAATTTATTTAACTTCAACTCAGGTGCCAAAAAATGACCATTTTCTGCAGAATAAGACATAAAATCAGCCAGAAAATGTTAATTACCTTTACTTCATTGTTTCGCGGGCTCCCTATTGGGGCAGTTTGGAATTTAATGAAGAATTCAAATCTCAGTTACCCCAGAGAAACATGCTTGAACAAATGGTGCAGAATATGCTGTCTGATTCTTTTTACCTTGAAAGGACTATAACATTAGACAACAATACATTAGCCTAACTTAATATATATAGGATATGCTAACCGTATAAACATAGCCTCCAATTTGGCTGTAAGTCTCAAGGGAAGATTAAATATTCTATAGTCTAAGTTGCTTTCTCACAATCAGATAGAATTACAAAATAATAACTGTAGCTGATTATTATTCTGTATACTTTGAATAAGAAGATACATGAATCTTTGTCTCAAAATACTAAAACTACCGAGAATCCACCTAATTATATTCAGTTTAATCCTAATTTCTTTCTCTTTCAGAATTCACTAATTTCCAGACGTTATGCTAGGAATTATATCAGTCTATTGACTCTATCCATATTCAAGATATCACAAAACTCAACGCAATTTAGTG